CTTAGCAGGACCTCTAATTTGCTTTGTGTTTGTAGCAGCCATGTTTGCTACACCTGGTTGTGCTGAAAAGAAGTTTCTGTAGGAATCCAAAGTGTCTAACTTAGCAGTTGTGAGGGTATGTGATACATTAAGAGCCATGTGCATCATGTTTATTAAGCTTGAGATATCTCAATAAACATGAGACCTGCTTGGGGGTCAGAGCAATGTGTTGTGTTTCACTTGTTTCATGAATGTATGCGAACTTTTGGGACAGAATCCAGAAAGCTGAGTCTGCTTTTCACAACTATTCATCCTTAGAACAAGTACAATAAAGAAGTAAAATAGCCAAGTAAGCTTCCATTTTACTTTTGTCCTGAAAGAGGATTTCTGTAAGCCTAAGAGGCCTTTCATGTTGTTTTCGGGGACTTCTCTGAGACTTTTAAGATGCCAATTGTAAATAACTGCTCACAAGACGGAGTAATTTTCTAAGCCTCCATGTGAGGCTCCTTTCAAATCACTGACATGGTGTAAAGCTTCTTGTATCACATTCTTAAACCTTGGGTAAGCGGATTGCTTAACGGACTGTCTGGTAATCTCATGAATAGCATCTAACCACATAGTAAGGCAGGGAACTAGCCTTTCTGTGGTACGTTTGACCCAGGTTTTGACCTTTGTCATCTTCAGTAATAAATATGCTCAGGCTGCACCTTCCTGTACATTCTAAATACAGTAGATGTGCAGTCAGGATAGCAGGGTGTATTAAACCCTGTGTGTTGCCGGCTTTGTCAGCTGGTGAACTCCCAGTGTTCCTGGAAATAAAGCCAGAATGGTGGAAGCTTTACACAAAAGCCATTATGGAGCTTCTCTGCTTTGCTGGAGCAGGGATGGCTGTGGGAATTGTGAACTGCTGTGCTCCCCCTGGCTTGCTAAAGTTAGAAGCGATGCGTGACACAAACTTGGAGTGGTGTCAGTGGAAAGAAACGTACATAATAAGACACCCTGAACATAGAGCAGAAGAGCAAGAAGCTTGGTCTTAGGTCAAGAGTGCAAATGAATGGTACATTTTTCAAAGCAGATCTTACATACTTGGTGCCTGTTCTATAGACATCTTTGTGTTATAGGTGTATATATAGATGATGTTGAAGGTTGGCTGAACATCAGCTTTGGATAATATAAAAGTATACTAGCATGACAGAGGGCATCAGACATGTTCTGCTGGCTTAGTTTCATCATTTAGTGATGTGATCAAACTATGCTAGAAAGCCAGAATAAAGTAGTCCCCGTTCAGCTGATGGATTGCCAGGCTCACAGACCAGTGTGCACCTGAAGTGCACGATCCAGGGTTTTGACTCCGAGCTGTACAACAGAACTGGGCATTTGAGGGTTTGTGCAGAAATGAAGACATGTAGTTTTGCCACGTGTTGTGCTTGGGACTTGGAAGGTGTTTTTTTTTTAGAGTAATTTGCAAGTATATTCCCACTGTCCATTTTATGCGGAAGGCCTAAGGATGGTAGAGTTGTCTGTGTTAGTGGTGTGTACTGAATGATGCACTAGCACAGTGCAGAGGATTTTTACACTATTTAGTGATAACACTGACAGAAGTTTACACATTAACTCAAACAACATTGAAGTTCCTCAGCATAGGAAGTGGTGGTAAAACAGAGCTCTTACTCCCTTCAGCACTGTAAGAGAATTTTGACAGCCTAGGACCAAAATAAACCAGTTTTCTATAAATTATACTTTTTGGTGAATGTACCATACAAAAAAAAAAAAAAAAAAAAAAGGAAACATGAATAATATCATGAAAAATTACAAATGGCTTTAGTTTATAAGAGATGAGAGAGAAACCTTGATGGTTAAATAAGTTTTCTGATACATAATAAAAAGTGGCTCGTGGTGGAAGATCCTCCTATAATTATAAAGTCTTCTGCCTTTCTCTGATGTCTTATAAAATACAAACTCATGCTGCAGCACTGTCCATCGTGAGCATGCTAATAATGGCCTCTCCAATAATCTAATTTTAAATAACTTTATCTGAACAAAATTATTGAAATCATCAATGAAATAAAAAATGATGAAGGTTGGATGGACAGTAGTCACACTGGTAGGGTGAATGCTTAAGTCTTATTTTCTGAGGATACTCAGCTGAAAAGTGTCTGTGTTGCATTCTGACTCCTTCAGAAATGATGAATGTCTGTAGCTGTAGACGATGAGAATCTTTTTCTCACTACTGAATTACAAATTCTGAATGAAAGAATTTTAGAACCTTTTCCTGATGGTTATTATTTTGAAAATCGATCCTGATATGGAAAGCTTGAGAATTAACGATTTACTCTGCCAGCAGCTGTCTGTCCCCAGCCATTGTTAGGCTTTCATTAAAAATGCCTTTGATTAAGCTTTCTCTCCGTGCTGGCTGGAGAGATTTTCAGTGAAGCTTGGGTTGGGGAGGCGGAGCGCTGGCGTGAAAATATTTTGATTAAGAAAATGCGTCAGTTCTGTTAAGACCAGTATTTTGTGTTTAGGCTGAAGTTTCTTATCGAAACTGAAGAGGAATGTGTGTTCTCCGTGCTCAGGCGCTCAGCTTGCGCGCGGGCCCGGGGCTCCAGCCGCTCGCGCCCCTGCCCCGGGCCGGGACCCCGGCGCTGCCGCCCGGGCGCGCGCCGGCTGGCGGGGCGGCAGCTGCGCAACGCTGCGCCCTGCGTGACGTGAGCGCGCGGCGGGCGCCGCCGCTGGGGGGCGCTGTGGCACGCGGAGCGGCCGCCGCGCGCCGCGGCCGCCGCAGCCCGGCGGAGCTCCCGTGGGCGCCGCTGAACGGCGTGTCTCCCTCCACGCAGGCCCTTGCAGTAAGGTGAGTTAGGGTGCGAGGACCTCAGATTTTTTGTATTTTTCCAGCACGGTAATGTTTTTTTTCCAGACGAGAGAAGGGTCTGCCTCTGCCTTCCCCCGCTCTGGTCACTCTCCTGCTTCCCTGTTACTGCCCTGAACAAGGTACCAACCCTCTCCCCAGTACCCTTTTTCTGGTAGAAGGCTTAGCATGCCGTAGGATGTTGCCTTATCTCTGGTACAACAATAATCCTGCCATACAGAGCGGGAGAAGAGGAGGAGGGAAAAGGAAATTTTGCCACTGCTGTTGTCACATTAGTGTCAGTATGTTGATCCTGGTTTTCCCTCCTGCTAACTTTTCCTCATCTTCCTATCCACTTACTGTTTTGCTGTTTACCTTATAGCTTGTACATAACAGTAGAGCCTGGGGTAGGTGCCTGCGTCTTGTGCTCATGTGGAATCTATTTAAGACCCTTTGCAGGGCCTCATTCCAAGCTATGTGCCCTTCAACCTAAACTCTGTAGCAGGAGTCTTGATTTTTTGAGACACCCGTTTAGAGTCTTGTAACACATGGGAAAGTTTGGCAGCATTGTAAGTTGAACAAAAAAAGCTGGGGTTGTATTGCTGAATTGAGTGCAGAAAGGATTTGTGCATACTTTGTCTTTTCTTCACGTTGTACCTTGCGCTGACAAAGAAACACAAGTTAGCAGAGTGGAAATACGTGGTAAGTGCTTTTTTGGTGGCTAAGCCAAACAGTTTGAACTCTCTTTCTGGAGAATACAGGTTTGCCCTCTCTGATGCACAAGGATTCATTCTACTGAGCCTGACTCAGTCCTCAGCCAGGGTAAGCCTTCCTTGCCAGCAGAGCCCATCCTCCGGAGCACCCACAGACGGGGTGCGGAGCGTGGCAGCTGTGTGGCCAGCACTGCAGTGTGCCAAGCCTGGCTCGGGGCTGCGTCAGGCTCCCAGGTAAGTTCTGCTCGCCTTGAGCCTTGCTTGGGCTTCGTGTTGCAGGATGTACTAGTAACAAGACTGCAGAATTCTGTTACTTTTCCTTAAGGGACTGAAGAATATTTTTCTATGACCTAATCTGCAGGCAAAATGCCTATTCTTCAAATTTTAGCTTATAGGCCACAGTGGTTCTAAAACTTCTTGAGACTCCACATGGCTATTCAGGATTAGTTGGAGGAGTGTCTTTAGGGCAGCTGAGCAGTTTCTGTCAATCTCCCTTTAGGCAGAGTTGGAATACATTATATAATAAGTTTAGTCCCTGCACAATTCTAATAAAATAGAGAATCACATATCCCATCTGGGAGGCTTATTTTCTGATTGCAACTACATAAATCAACAGAAAGCACCTCTCAGGAATATTTTCAGACCCAGACGGTGATTGAATTACAAATGCATTTTTCATGTCCTTATTGTGAAATGGAGGTCAGGATAAAATACAGTCAGAAGATTTAAATGATGCTCTTGGATATAGATCCTCATCCATTACATTAGTGTCTCTCACTGGGTTTTAGTTTCACTACATTCAACAATCTGCATTAATGGAGTTCAACACAACAGTCTCACAACAGCAGAGAATTTGAATCTATTTCTGAAATGTATATGCACTGGGTTGAGTCGTTGAAGGCCGTACCATACCTATCTCGAAAAAAAGAACTTCTGATTGCCTAAATAATAGCACATATAATGTTGTTTCAGTAAACTCCTTGAAGTCTAAGAAGAGAGCAAATCTACACTTCCTTAAGAGCAGAGTCTCTTGAAGAGAAAACAGTTGAGACTGAGAGCAAACCTAAGTATTAGGAGAAGTCCATGCGTAGTTCAGAAAAGGTCAGTGCTATTGATTATTGAGAAGCAAGGAAATTCCGTCTCCCATTTCCCCCCATCAGATTTCTTTTCTGAACAGCAAAGGACTAAAATGGTCTGAACAACCTAATAAAGTCATCCAGGAAGTTGAGCTCATTTCCAATATTAGAATAAACACTTTACCTACAAAAGAGGTGAGTTCATAGGAAGCTGATGGCAAGCTCTGTTTCCGTGAATGTTCAAAGCTTTGTTTGTCTTTTTGTAAAAGCACAAAAGAAGTGATGCCTTAGTGGATGAATCAAAACCTCTATCATTTACCCCTAAAATACTTTTAGCAAATTAGAAATGTTGGGAGTCAAGCTTGCTAGCTTCTGTCTGCTGTGTGCTTGCCTATGGTCAAAGGAAGATACTTTAAAGGACATAGGTCTAACTAGTGGATCTTTTAATTGCATAGTTAGTTTGATACTTGGCTAAAGGATGATTTCTACATCATACTGCTCAAAGAGCTGTTGAGATGTGGAGTGAATATTGTAATAATGCAATAATAGTTGTTACTAATTATCTGTTTGGAAGCATAACAAGATTTTACCTTGTGTTCTTCCCAGCAACTGGGGGATATTTTGTTCTCCAAAAGTTGTTGGCTCAGTTTTGCATCTAGTCAAGTCAGGTGGATTTTGCCATGTCAAGTAAATACAGGAGCATAAAGGAGAACGTGACCTCAAAAGTAGATGGAGATAAGTCACAGTCACCACATTCAGACTGGAAGCATAGTGTAGGTCTCCTTAAGGTTTTGATTTAGCCTGTTGTATACCCAAGGGATCATTAAGAAAAATGTGTGTTTGCAGACATCCGTTACTCACCAGATATCCACAGGTCAGACCTGGGGTTTAGGTACACGTACATCTTTGGTAGCAGTCACATTAAAAAAATCAATGGTACGTTGTATTTCCTTACCTATAAAGGCAAAAGGATAACGAAGGATGACACAATGTAAAATTAGTAAGAGACAGCAGTTTTGCAAGTCTGTACACTGAGTGGAAAATGTTCCTACCCTCTTTCTCTGAATTCCAGTGTTAAGAGTTCTGCATTTCTGATTGTTTTCCTATCCTGCCAGTCTCTTGTAGAGCTCCAGTGATTACGCTGGCCAGTTAATTCTGATCTGAGATTGTAATGGATTATACCACTTCTGTATAACAGGAAGGCGAACTTCCTCTTTAAAGCTGCGTATTACTAAGTGAGGAGGATTTCTGATGGGCGGAGTCGGCTTGAGTCGGCTAGATAAAGGCTTGCAGGATTTACAGACGGCTCAGACTGCCGTCGGCATGAACGGCAGCCTGCCGGGCAGGGAGCTGCTCAGCTACCCGATGGACGGACAGCGGGACAGGCTGTGCCTTCAGTCTCTTTGGGACTTTGTCACAGCAAAGGAGCCATTGATCAAGTCACCGTTTTTTCCAGTGCTGTTTTCTTTTACAGCGTACATGGCTTTCTGTCTTCCATATATTGCACTGGACTTTTTAAGCACTAGACTACCGAACTTGAGAAAATACAAAATCCAGCCACAGAACTATCCAACTCTTGCAATGATGGTACCTTGCATTATTCAAAGTGCTTATCACCATGTTGTTTTGATCTTCCCGGTGACGTTTCTCCACTGGTACTGGAGACCAATGAATCTCCCAGTGGTAGCTCCAGAGCTGCCTGAGGTCCTGCTGGAAGTAGGAGCTTGCCTGCTTCTGTTTGATTTTGAGTACTTCCTGTGGCATTTGCTTCATCACAAGGTGCCTTGGCTCTACAAGACCTTCCACAAGGTGCATCACAAGCACGTGTCAACGTTTGCTCTTACTACACAGTATTCCAGTGTATGGGAATTGCTCTCACTGGGATTTTTTGCTGCTATCAACCCAGTGCTCCTTGGATGCCATCCTCTGACAGAAATGATTTTCTTCCTTGTAAACATTTGGTTGTCAGTGGAGGACCATTCAGGATATGACCTTCCATGGTCAACTCACCGACTTGTGCCTTTTGGTTTGTACGGAGGAGCACCACATCATGATCTCCATCATCTGAAATTCAAATCAAACTATGCTCCTTATTTCACCCACTGGGACAAACTCTTCGGGACATTCACAGAGTCGCATTCTAATTAAGGATATTTACTTGTGGACAAACTCTTCTTTTATAGACTAAACTGGGACATTAATTTTTCAAAGACATAGAGAAGATGGTATATTTGAAGCTGCCTATAAAAGCAATAGCTATTTATAACAAATCCTCTTAATATATGTGTATTTGTATGTATACTTGGAACTGCCTATGTTAAATGCAAATGGGAGGATAAATCACTGTTGCTTAAATTTGTTTGAGTCAAAGGTATAAGGGAAGCATTAAGAGACATTCTCTCTTCTTTCCTTCTTTCCAGCTTTCATAAAGCATGTATTGTATTACCATATGCTGTTTTATACATATGCCAGAACAATTATCTTACTGTTGTAGGATGATTTATGATGTAAACAGAAAAGGTACACAGCATAGATTTTGTGGATTTTAATCTGCCAGAGCACATTATTACACAATGATGATGTAAAATATTGTTTGATCAACAAGACTAGTTGGCTAACTGTGCAATAATTTTGATATTTATATTTTAAACCTTGATGTACTGTCTGTTTTTAATAGAAAATAAATATGGTAATTCTTTTAAAATTATATTCTGTTTCATTTTATTCGTTCCTCTGTTCATATTAGGAACAGGTATGATTCCTTTTGCATATGTGTCATTTATTTGAGTTTCAGAGTTTCAGACTTTTGAAATAACATGACGATATTTTAATAAGAAAAGTGAACCACTTACTTTTTCTCCAGAATCATGTGTTATTTTTAAATAGTTTTCAATTTTGTAGAAAGAGGATATTGAAGAATGAAGTTTAAAAAGCCATGGTGAAATTTTATCATTACATTTGTGAGAAGCTTGAATAATTTTCAGTAAAGTTATGGTGTGAGAGCAGAACATTAAGCAGCCCTTTAATAAAGGGAGCATTGGTCCTTCACAGCCACATCAATTAATTGTTACTTGCATGCAAAAACCTGGCATGGAATATAAACAGACTTTCTACAAAATAGATTATTTTTTCAAGCAGATTTCAGAGGAATAGAATTGAACCTTTCAGGATCCTAAACCATAGAACAAAACAGCTACATGTTGCTAGAAGAACAGTTATATATAAAACATTGCCATGTAGTCTCACACGTCACACTGAAAAAAGTAAGCATGAAGACATAAGCAGGTCTTCCATGTCTCATTCAGCAGAGATCCATATGGACTTCTTATGTCCGCTACATAGCATTTTAGTGCGTATAATCTTCTATCCTATATTACCAAAAAAATTCTCAGGAAAATGATAGGAACGGAAAAAGTGCAAATAATGTAGAGAGTGTGTAACAAACACTTAACGCATCATCATCCAAAAATGTCTTTGTCATTATGTCTGGAGGGTTGTGTGACCTTACAGAGGCTGTTTGTCCAGGAGAAGAGAGAACCCTTAGTACTTCCAACAATGTGAACTTATAGAGAGAAGAGCACTTTTGGACACTGCATCTTTTTGATAACAGCAAATAATTTTCATAAACATCTTCATAAAAAGTATGAAGTGCTGCAGTCTTAATACTTAATCCCTCTTCTCTCTGGATATCACAGAAGAGCAACCCTTCTTTTCAGTGGTAGAGAATGTGACACATCCTGAGACCAAAAACTGGGGCTTAAAAGAATACAAAACTAGAATTTTTGCCATACATCTATTCAACTGAAAGAAAGAATTCCCAAACATTCTGATGATTATAATCTTAAGTATTTTCGGGTGTGCTACAAAGAGAAGGAAGTGTTCTTTTTGCCTGCCAAATGCAGGAGGCATAATACAGTCTTTGATTTCGTTGAGCTCTTTAGCCATTTTGAGGTATCCCAGTTACCTAATTCAGCTTGGCAAATACTGAGCATCGGACGGAGGTGCTCTGTGGTTTCAATGAGTTATATCTTATAGTATAACTATATATAGATAGTAATGATACACTATAACAGTCTGTTTCGCGTACTATTGGCTCTCTAAGCAAGCAAGGTTAAGGCTAACTGGTGCTTGGATATGTTGCTATAGAAAGCCTATGAACAGATCCCACAAGAAAGGTTCCAGCTGAACCCATGGAGAGTATTCTGCTTTTTTAAGTGAAGCTTAAGAGTTGGATAAAACAAATACTTTACTACTGGAGAAGGACACCTATTCAGCTGCAGGCAAAACTATGCTTCTTGTCAAGTGAGAGTCTCATTTGGCATTGACAGTGTTGCATAATGGTGGTGAGGCTGATGCCTACTCCCCTCTCACTCACATCCTCAGTGTTCACACAACTGCAGAAACACACCAAGAATGCATTTCCTCAAATGTGGAATTGCCTGCAGGTTATATCTGTACTGAACCTCTTGCCAATCAGACCTGGAATCTCATTTAAAGGCTCATTATTGCATTAACTTGAAATGCTAAAAAAATCAAAACAAAAAAAAACCAAACCCAAAAAGAGAGTTGTCAAAAGAAAATTTGACTAGTATTTGTCTGGAATAGCTTATTTGAATTCCATGATAGAAATATCTATACTTTGTCATCATGACATAATCCTAGCATACCTTGTCCTTCCTTCTCCAATGCTTTGAAGGTAATTTAGGGTCTAAACCGTGACAGATTGAAACCATTTAGGTATGGTGTGTACTTTGAAGCACCTTCTGTAACACTGTACTATAATATAACTTTAGGTGTATGTATGAGAAAAAGTCATGAGCAGAAGACCCAGACAAACATGTAACTTCAGGCCTTTGAAATTCAATGAAAAGCAAAATATAGACAAAAACATAAACTGAAAGTAAAGCAAATAAGAGTTGTTTGTTTTCCTGTTTTCACTGAAAGTTCAGCAAATACTGTACCACTGAGCGTGACAGCACAGCAAGTTCTGTGTATTGATGGTGCTGAGATTTTAAAACAGGATTTTACAGATGTTACTTCCTATATTTGCATTTCCCCATGGTCTTTACCACAAATCTTTACCAGACAAATGGAACGGCATGACACTCTATTGTAAGGGTTTATGTCAGAAAACCAAAACCAACTTTCTTTCATCTGTCCCAAAATTCTCCCAGCTTCCTTCCTCATTATAATGTGACATGATGTGCCATACAGACTTCCTATCTTAATTTGCCAAAAGCTATTCTGTTGTCATTTGTGAGTAAATAGAGGATGTTTGCACAGACCTTTGAAGCTATCAAATGAGATTTTTGATGCTGCAATTGTCTACTTTATATCTTTAAAAATCCTAATTTAATAAAAGTCAAAGAAGTAAGACTTTATGCATTTCTCTTTGTAACTCTCTCTTAGTTCTTAAACACATGGTTAAATACTGAACTCTTAGTTTGGTCTTACAAATTACAGGAGCTGCCAAATTCTCACTGGTAGTTTGGCACGATACTTCTCTTGAAACTTAGGCTGAGTCTTTCAAATGGTACCTGGTTTGGCAATTTTGAGATAACAGTATACAACACTGCAAAGGGCCAGGTTTTTGCTTAGTGGGTACATTCTCAGCACTGCTGGAAAGCGCGCTCCTGAGGTGCTTTGGAGACAGCATATGAAGCTTAGAGCCATGCTGAGTCAATATTCACTTCTGGAAAAGGCTTTGTCCTTATTCATGTTGATCAAATGCAAGTACTTTACAGGGTAAAAACAACACAGTCTATAGTCTACAGCTGTGATTTTTTATTATTTGAAAAGTAATCTATGTCATTAATGGATTTAGTGATTTGGTTAATCTAGTGCATTATCTGGATTAAATAAAAAACTACTATCTCTTTGGGCTATTAGACTAAGTTATGTCTAAATTAGTTTTGAAGCAATTTTTAATGACAGAACACTTAATTGTCATCCTTTGCCCCTCAATGTTATTGGAAGGAGTGAATAACTGATGTGGCTTTAATTTAGTGCATTGAGCAGTCACTTCAGCAGTTTTACTTATTCTTGCTTTCATGTACAAGTATTAAGCTTCCACTATTACCTTCCTACATCCATGCAATCCTTTCTGAACCAGTTACAGTTCTGTATCTGAAAAAACAATTCATCTTGGACTCTCTCAAAATACAAAACCCCTGTGGATTTATTTCCAGATTACCTTTGTTGAGAGACTAATCAGTGTGAGCCTACTATCACATTTATATGTAAACCATGTCTAGGGCCCTGTCTTTGTGTGCTGGGCTTGGATGATGTGCCAGTTTGCTCAAATATTTAGGCTAGTCCTGTATTGCTCAGTACGATCCACCCTGAAAGGCCTTTGTAGCACTGTCTGGAGTTGTGTTTGCAGTATGTTTTTCTCATAAAAACAACTGCCAAACAATTGTTTTCCGAAACTTAAATGTGTTTCTAATTTATGGAAATTGGAAGTTGCTTAGGACACAGAAAAAACCCCCACACCCCCCAAAACCAACCAACACAAGCATTCCAGACTTTAAAGGGAGCAGAACTAATGCAGAAGGGCTTTTAGCTATGGAAAATGATGCTGAGTTTTTTTAATCCTTCTTCTCAGACATTCTTCTTTTAAAAAGAATTGAAAAGCTTACTAGTCACCTTGTCCCCCAAACTGCAGTGGTTGCCATGGTCAAGGCTGTAGGTGTGGACAGGGAGAAAGGAGGAGAGGAAGGAGAAAGGGATAGGGATGTGTCTGCAGGCATTTCCATCACTGTCCCTCAGTGCAGCACATGTTACCTGTCAGGTATGGACGGAGTGCTGCTCTGATACATCCTTCCCACCGTGGCACGGATGCCTTCAGCCCTCAGGTTCTTACTGCTGGAGTGGTACAGACTCCACATCCATGCGTAGCTTTTCCTTTCTGCTATCTACCTCTTTCTGGAAATTCCCACAGCAGCAAAACACACCGACCTGCAAGAGGGACCTCTGCCTTTGGTCAGCATAAATGCAAACACACTTTTCTGTCAACAGGTATAAGATTTAGTTAAAAAAATCTACACGTACAAGGACTGGAGTGCCTCTTCCATGATCAGTTTTGAGATAACAGGTTTTACATGTGGGAAACCAAAAAGCTAACAAACCAAGCTGGATGGTTAGTAGGCCAGGCAGGCAGAAACATGACTACTTTGGTTTCAGTCTGTTGAGAGAAACTTCATACTAAAGATATGTGATTTGGAGGGATGTGGATGGATGTGTTACCTATACTTCCATGGAGAGTTTAGATGGGAGATACTTTTATTTGTCCTTGGAACTAAGCATCAAACAATTCAGTGGATTAAGTAGCCTGAAGTCTAGGGTGAGCTATAGAAAATCTGTTTATAAGATGAACAAGAGGTACCTTCTTCGTCAAAAGGATATGAAAAAGCACTGCTAGAAATTGTATTGATGGAAGGCTCTTTACACACCTCTTCAGACATTGACAGAAGCTGTGGAAGATCACACCCCTAAGAAACAACACTCTTGGGTAATTACAAAGCCCCTTTAAGTGATTTGTTTACAAAACTTCCAGAGCTAGTCTATAAATAGCTGACACAACAGAATTTGTCAAACTATTCAGAAAAATTAACATGGGAAATACATGGGTGTTAAGGGTGGAATGATTCAATACAGTGTAAGCATGCTCCTCCAATGCTTGCAAGCTCTGAGGTGGCCTAGTCAA